AGAAGGAAACTGTGTCTCTGACACCTCAACTAGGGGCTGCCATATTGGCCCTGGTTGCTTCTGCCTATACTGTTAGTTGAGGGAGAAATAAATACTATTTTGTTTAAGCCACAATTAATTTGGGGCTCTTTGTTGTAACAGCTGAACTTGTACCCTACAAATCCAAGTGCTCAGTATGTGACAAGCATTGTTATAGAAGCTTTACAGACAGTAAGTAACTCATTGAAAGCTTAAAAAGTCCTAGGGGATATGTTATTCATATCCCCAATTTACAGACAAAAAAACTTAGACCAAGATCATACAAAGAGTAAGTGACAGAGCTGGGATTTGAACCCAGGCAGCCTAACTCCAGAGCTCTTAACACACATGAAGTGTGGTCCTGAAAGTGCTACATAAACAGCACTGGCTGTGGTAATAACAGGATGCCTTCCCCCCGCCCCCCAATCTTTCTTGCCCTCAGGGCTGATGGTACTTACTTGGCCACCACGGAGTCACCACTGTCCATCAGGGTGGGTGGTGAGGAGGCACCCATCTGTTCCTCAGTGGTGCTGGGTGGGGAAAGGGTCCCTGACCTGGATGGCCAGGACTCCTCAAATAGCTCAGGGGAGTTGGGATCTGTGGCCAGAGCCTTGGGTGTTTCTGGGATCCTGGATCTCGGGGACCTGGATGGACTCAGGGTCTAAGATAGGGGAGGTGGGGAGAAGAAAAAGTGATATCCCTGAAACAAAGACACACATGAAGTCTTAGTCCAGAGGGGAGGAAACACATCTCACAATGGTAACAACTCAGAGTAAATTTGGCTATGATGGTGGTAGAGGACTAGATGAAGGAAGGGCCAGGGGGAGGGGAAGAGGGACTGTGTTTAATCTCTCACCCGCATCTCTTATCACAGGTCTTCACTCCCTTGCTACTAGGCTGGCACACAGCACTCTGTGTGTGGTGTTCTCACCTTGGGGTGCCAGGTCTAGCTTTGACCCAGGGGAGCATCCCCAAAGGGGCTGTCTTGAGCGTTGAAAACTGGCAGGCTGCAAGGAGAGAGTAAAGTTGGTAGGCAGAGCATGGTCACTGCAACCCAGGAGGAATCAGGGCAGGAGGATGGGAAGAGGAGGGCAGAAAGACTACAATTCCCATGGATTCCTGTAAGAGATGGACCATAATTCCCACAAAGCACCACTGCACATTCAAGATAATGATACTGGAGGCGCCAGGCCTTGGAGCAGTCTCAAAAGAGAAGAACCGAGGAACTGCTAATGGTGGTTCTCAACACTGGATCCAGCCTAGGAGCTGTCTTTAAAACAACAACAACAGATGTGTGGTCCTCACTCCAGACTAAAAGAATAAGAATTATCTGGAAGCAGTTGTTAGGCATCTGTATCTTTTTCCTAGCGCCCCGGAGAATTCTGGAGTGGAGCTCGGGTTAAGAACCATGGCTAAACCCTATCGCAGTACATTTCCCATAAGTCTTGGGGGCACTAAGGAAAAAGGGGCAGATGCACTACAATTCCCATCAGTCAATGGGCTCTTCCTAAGCAAGAAAGATAAACAAACAAAACAACACCTATGGGAGTCTGGGGGCAATTTCAAAATTAAGAAACTTGATTCCCAAGATGCCCCTGGACACTCTTAGAAGAAGGAAAAAAACCATCTTGGGGTCACTAACAGCGGAACGCAAGACACTACGGGACCCCCGGGGACGATGAAGTCCAAGACTGGAGCAGCCAAAGCTGTGGAACAGCTTGCGGGTTTTAGTTCCCTGCGACTGAGGAGCGACTCCGGACCCCAGCCATCCGGACCCCAGGCTGTGCTTCTCTCACCCTGGTCTTCCCCGGGCATCCTGCGGTCCCCGGAAGAGGGATGGCCTCACCTGCGGTTCATCTGGTGGCTACTTCCGCGCTTCCGCCTGCAACTCCCCTTCACGGACCGACCCAGCGCCTCTCGGTCGCTTAGCAATGCCCTATCAGCCCCGCCCCCTCCGGGTGCCCTCGCGGGACTACAGCCGCCTCCAAGGCGACCAATGATGAACAGTAATTGGAAAGTGGCCAAAGGCGGGTGTCTCACAACTGGCTGTAAAGGCAGCCTGACTGAGAGAGCGTGTGTGATTGGAGAACCATAACGTGCAGCAGTGATTGGCAAGCCTGTGGACCAATGGAGAGAATATAAAACTGTTCAAGGTTAGGAGGGGTTCTAAAGTACCCGCGCAGCCTTGTGTTACAACCTTCTTGCGGCGGGAATCTCGTCCAGACTATTCCAACAACCGTTTTTCCCGTGGTAGGGGCAATCAGGGAGACTGTCCCCTCTCTAATGGACATCCCTCCATCAGTCGGACCTGCAGGACCGTCCCGCCCGGTCACCTGCTTCCATCTTGCTGCAGGAGCAGCTGGTTGCGCCAAGTGCCAGGCCTGGGCTCCTGGCCAGGTGGCGGGATCAAAACAAGCTATTTCGGGCCAGGCGCGCGCCCCCCCCCGGGGGCCAGCCTGGACTCTTGTCCACGGTCCCTGGCCGCTGCTCACCTGGCAGACCCCGCTACTCTGCATCCGAGACTGAGTCAGAGGCACAGAATTAGGCCCGGCTTGCCCGGGACTGGGCTGATGGAAATAGAGTCTGTCCTGTGTCCTTCTGACAGTTTGGCTGGTCCACCGCATTCTCTGTACCCACGACTCTGCTCTTAAGACTGCCATCTGCGTCATCCCCAGAGCTGCCTGCGGGGCGGGGGTGGAGTAAAGGGACTGGGAGCTCTGCAGAGGGCTTCTCAAGCCCTGGGTCCCAAATTCCGGCAAGGCTCCGCCTCCTCAGCCTTAGTTTCCCTTCGGGGAAACTGGAGAATCTTGATACCTCTCTGGCATCCAGCAGGAGCTTAATAAATGGCCAAGTCATTGTTGGCTTTCTAAATAAGGCTCTGTTAGTGGCTGGGTCTGGCCGCAGTCCGAGTGTCCCCGGGCGGCCCGCGGAGGGCGGACACAGGGCGTCCTATAAAGCTGCGGGGCGCACCAGGGGTACAACCGCGCAGGAGGAGCAGGATGGAGATCCCTGTGCCCGTGCAGCCGTCTTGGCTGCGCCGCGCCTCCGCCCCGTTGCCCGGGCTTTCGGCGCCTGGGCGCCTCTTCGACCAGCGCTTCGGCGAGGGGCTCCTGGAGGCTGAGCTCCCTGCACTCTGCCCCACCACGCTGGCGCCCTACTACCTGCGCGCACCCAGCGTGGCGCTGCCCGCCGCCCAGGTGCCAGCCTGGGGAGGGGTTCTGGCCATCCTCGGGGGGGATGAGGGGATGTCCCTTGACTTTGAGAGGGACGAAGAATCCGGCCACTCAGAGGGACTTCCGGAGTTCCCCAATTTTAGAGGCCAGATTAATGGAGGGGGTCGGAGGTCCCCGTCCATCTGAGGAGAATCGCAGTTCTAAGGGGACTGGTAGGGTGAGGTGGTCACTCTTGGTGACTTTGAAGGAGGCTAGTAACCCAGGGAATCTGGGGTGGGGGATGGGAGGCCAATCATTCTGAAGGGCGTAGGGGCGCCCAGTGACCCCTGCAGGGAGGGAACGTTGTGTTATTCTCGGGAAGAGTTTGTAGATGATATGAAGTGACCCTATGTCCCCGGAGAGGCAGAGGGGAGGGTCTTGTGACTGGAGAATGGGGAGGGGCTGGCCACTCTGAGAAGGGAGGAGGACTAGTAACTGAGGGGCAAGGGGTCCCGTGTGGGTGTGTGACAGTGAGGGCCCCGGGGGCTCTGAGAGGAAAGGGCCCGCGGAGTCAGTGTCCAGGCGGACACATTGACTATGGGGTCGCCGACACGGGGGAGGAAGGGGACTCACTCTGTGAGGCCTGAGGTCTCTGACCGGCAGGGAAAGGGGGCCTCTTCCCTCTGGGTGAGAGGAGGATGAGACCAGTTATTCGGGATGAGGCGGCCATCCATGGCTACAGGTTGGAAAGGGGTCTCCCAGTTTCGGAGGCCAGAGTCAGCTGCGCTAGAACCCCGGAGGGAGAGGCCTGGCTTGGGTCCTGGGAGCCCTGGGGCGCCCGATGACAATGGGCTGTGCACAGGTGCCCTCCGACCCCGGGCATTTCTCGGTGCTGCTGGATGTGAAGCACTTCTCCCCAGAGGAAATCACTGTCAAGGTGGTTGGTGAACATGTGGAGGTGCACGCTCGCCATGAGGAGCGCCCGGTGAGCCCGCTGGTGGGCAGGCCTAGGGGAGCGGGGCAGCCACAGGGAAGGGTGGCCTCTCAAGCCTCTCCGTTTCCAGGATGAGCACGGATACGTGGCTCGAGAGTTCCACCGCCGCTACCGTTTGCCGCCTGGTGTGGACCCTGCCGCCGTGACATCAGCGTTGTCCCCTGAGGGCGTTCTGTCCATCCAGGCCGCGCCCGTGCTGGCCCAGGCCCCACTGCCGCAACCACAGGCTGCTGCCAAGTTGGGGTCTGGGCACACCTGAAGCCTGGGGACCGCCGCAGGCCACCTCTTTTAAAGCCGACCTGACTCCGCCCAGCCAGATGTACCGAGCTCGCCAAGACCACCACCGCTACACCCCATCTGGGGTCCAGCCCGGACCCTTCCAACCTAGACTCAGCCCTGATCTCACTCTCACACACCCTCGTTTTCAAATCCCAACACCTTCCTAGCTTCCAGACCCTACAAACCCATCCCCACTAACCCATTTCTTGGCTTGTAAACCCACTCAAAACCTATTTCCTTCTCATTATGAAAATAATCACTCTGACACCTGATTATGATATAGACAGCCCTGTTCCCACCATAGC